TTACTTAGAAACCATTTTTAATTTTCATTTGTTGAAAATTTGCAGCCATACTTTAATTTAAAATTTATTTATTTAACATTTCTTATTGTAAAGCATCTCCACACTGCTGTGATCATACATTACATTTTTATTATTATTCGGCACAAATAATGGTCACATGTTTAAAACAAATCTGACACACGCGAGTATGTCTATTTGAATTTGTCTATTAAGAATTTTATAACAATTTTTTGAAATTTTATATATGGTGAGAAAACTGTATGTAATATTTCATAAAAATTTATAACAAAATTATTGCCTATAAAATGGAAATATTTATTCTTAATATAAAATTAATGCATGATTTTTTAAAGTGAGATTATATACATACATATTTTACTAAATATATTTGCATTTATATTAGTATACTCGGTACCATCATTTATAGCTGAATAATTTTCATTGTGTAATCGTTTGACTTAGTAGTCTGTATTGCGGCAGATGAACAAAATTAAAATTACATAAACGAAAAACGAAATTCATTCTTTTGGTGTTTCGATCAGAATCTGTCCTCGAATCTCAAAAGCATGATATTAGTACACTGCTTTTCTAAAAATAAAATTTTAGAAGACAGATGAGGAAAAATTACGAATGAGACGAATTTAGTATGTATATGGATAATTTTAATTTTGTTGGTCTAGCTGGTGGAGAGGTTGCAAGAGGAGAAGAGGCTGGAACAAATAAGAAGAAAGGAAAGAACAGAAGCATACTTGTATATAACCGTCAACGTCCTTCTCGAGGATAACTTTGACGGTCACCAAGGAAATGACTTGTATGATCCAGAGCATGCTTTGTATCGTGTATTTCGCGTGCGTAAGCAGTGTACCTTGCACGAGTTTCTCGAATTGCTGAGTGATAGCTTGGTAAGTGTAATTGTTGAATAATTTTTTATGCTATTACTGGCACATTACTATATTGATATAATATTGTTACCTATATGTTTTTATTTTATATTTTGAGTTAATTAATGTTGAAGTATTGGTGTGACTTCTTAATATGTGCCATTAACTTGGTTCTATATTTAATATTCTTGTGATCATCTACAAGTACGGTAGGTGATTCGAAACACAATATTTAAGAATGATTGAAATGTTGCATTTCAATTAATATTAATACAATTCAAATATCTAATGTAATGGGATTTTTCTACAGAAATATCCAATACAGCAAATTCGTCTGTGGCCACTGAATGTGCGTTCAAATCATACCTGTAGACCAATGCCGCTTGATTTAGAACCTGATACACAGAAATCCATTTACCAGTGCTCAGAAAATCCAAATGCGTGGAATGTATTTGTTGAACTTGTTCCTCCAGATTCAGATATGACAGCATTACCACCATTCGATAAAGACACCGATGTATTGTTATTTTTTAAATTGTATGACCCGAAAAATAAGAAGATACATTATTGTGGTCATCATTATATGCCTGTCACAGCCAAAGTCCGTAAGTTTCATTTTAAACAATTAAAAAGATTAAATATTTCTTGTAATTCGGTTGCCTCTTTAAAACATTTAAATGTTATTGTATTGTTATTGTGCTTTTGTCATTACTATTTCTTTACTATTGATAATTATTTACTAGAAATATTATTTGAGTTTAGAATAAATATTTTAGTTGATAGTGTAAGCTTTTATCTCCCTAATAATGGAAAATAATTTACATGACCTATTTTACATAGAGGAACTTATACCTATTTTAAACGAAAGGGCTGGATTTCCACTGGATACAGAATTAGCGCTTTTTGAAGAGATTAAACCAAATTTGGTTGAAAAAATAGATAATTTAACAGATCCGTTAGAGAAAGTCCTCGAAGAATTAATGGATGGCGACATTATTGTTTTTCAAAAAGAAGGAGACAATCAGATGTATGAGCTTCCGACATGTAGAGAATACTTTAAGTAAGTTTCACAACTATTTACAGAAATTCATTCCTTTATACATAATTATATTAAATACTTTTAATACGTTTCAGGGACTTATTTCACAGAGTGGAAGTAACATTTTGTGACAAAACTATCCCTAATGATCCTGGCTTTACAATGGAACTCTCGTTAAGGATGACATATGATCAAATGGCAAGAGCTGTGGCCCAAAGAGTTGGCACAGATCCGTACCTCTTACAATTTTTTAAATGTCAAAAGTAAGAACTCTTAGGTTTTGAAATACATATTTTATTCATTTGGATGGTGTTCGACTGCAGGTAGAACAAAGTTTTAAGGAGCAAATGTGCACCTTAAAATAAGTACATAGTTGCTACTTCATTTTCAAGTTAATAGTAATTTAATCACCATTTAAAGTTTGTTCCTCGTGCATTCAAGCACTATATATAAAATATAATAATATACATTTTTCAAATATTATTTTTATGGACTCGTTAAACACTTGCATCAAAGTTATACCTAATTTAATTTCTGATAATTAAAAGCGATATTTCGTCGTTAGCACTAAACATTGTTTTTCCTTATCATTATTTTTGTTTGTCAATTTCAGTACAAGTTGATTTTACATGAAATAACTGTAAGAGCTTAACGTGTCTATTTGTAAATGGTGTTTTTAAAAGTGGACATTTTTTCAGGGTTCATTTTACATGTCAAAATTATTAAAAAAAGTTCACGTAGCGTCTATAAAGCAAATATAGCGGCTTTCTTGAATCTTGTAAGCGATACTTTTCATTGATGAAAATGACCGAAGTTGTTCTTTTTTACTATGCTACTTGACTACTTCACGTGTTGTCATGTAAGGGTCAGAGGGCAAAAAGGGTTAACCTTAAAATTCTTATAATATTTTAAATATATTATTTTTCATCCTAATTCTTATATTATATATTAATCATTGCTCCCAAATTATAACTCTTTGACACGCAGGAGCATCTTTGTTTATCACCCCGCTTTTTTATGAGAGTCACTGTATTTACTTCTCTAATACTATACACACGTTCTTTACCCTAATATTTTTATTTAATGTTTCTAAAAATTCTATCATTTAATTAGATTCACTATTATTATTGTATAGAAAACTATCCGCTTTAAAAACATATGAACATTTAGTTTGTGTCATTAACACTGAATCGAGAAAGCTGATAATCGGTATAGGTGAGATTTCCCTTTGATTTTAAAGCAGATGATCCAAATTTACTAATAACAGGTCTGTTGTATTGAGAGAGTTGTCTGGAAAAGGGAACACCAACTTTAGTGATTTTCATTTTGACATATTTTGTAGAGATGAAAATCTTGAGCAATATGTATTTTGTCTGAAATGTGAGGCAATTATGTTCCAAAATTTCCGGAAACGAGAAAATTATACATATCACATTGCATTTTCTCTAATGTAAGTAATANTTATATTATATATTAATCATTGCTCCCAAATTATAACTCTTTGACACGCAGGAGCATCTTTGTTTATCACCCCGCTTTTTTATGAGAGTCACTGTATTTACTTCTCTAATACTATACACACGTTCTTTACCCTAATATTTTTATTTAATGTTTCTAAAAATTCTATCATTTAATTAGATTCACTATTATTATTGTATAGAAAACTATCCGCTTTAAAAACATATGAACATTTAGTTTGTGTCATTAACACTGAATCGAGAAAGCTGATAATCGGTATAGGTGAGATTTCCCTTTGATTTTAAAGCAGATGATCCAAATTTACTAATAACAGGTCTGTTGTATTGAGAGAGTTGTCTGGAAAAGGGAACACCAACTTTAGTGATTTTCATTTTGACATATTTTGTAGAGATGAAAATCTTGAGCAATATGTATTTTGTCTGAAATGTGAGGCAATTATGTTCCAAAATTTCCGGAAACGAGAAAATTATACATATCACATTGCATTTTCTCTAATGTAAGTAATAAAAAAAAAATTACGATCATAAACTTACGCCTCTACTAATAGTTAGGTATGATTAAATGAGATTTTTAAGAGTTTTAGGGCACAGAGCCATTTTGTATTACATATAACAGTATATTGGAACATATATAATGTAATAAATATATAAATTTTTAATATCAATCGTCCTACGCCTCAGACAATGTATACATTGAAGTTAAGGCTTCTTTTTCCAGATAATTCAAATTTTTTATTACAACTAAAAAATTGCATACCATAGAATATTATACAAAATGTGTATAAAAATTTTCTTTTTATCATGGGAGGGGAGGGGGGGGGGGAGGTTAGCTACCCTGAAGATATATCCATTTTTTTCGAAACATTCTGTTATATAGAGTAACTCAGAGAAAATATCTTTATTGAATGAGACAAAAAAGTTATATTGTTGAAAGAGCCAGATGTTGTGGTACAAAAAGTTTTAAATGCTACAATTAATGAACATTGAACATGCTGTCATATATATCTCTGATATTTGCAATGCATTTTTTAATTCTTGTTAATTATTAATTATAGACTGTTCTTTAATGTAGAGAACAAAATTTGTAAAATATATTAAAATTTTACAATTAGCCCAAGCATATGATTTTGAAAATATTTTCTGCTCGTAATGATCTTAAATGTAATTTCAAAGAAAAATATATTTGTATCATCAGATATATTTATCTCTTTAAACAATACAATTTTTTTATGTGTCATTTTTGTCTATTGTTATATCTGACACAAATGGTTAGATTACTTCTCACAACATATCCTACACATATATAAGTTATATGTATCAAAGGTAACTGTGTTACATTCAAATATTTCTAGAACTACATAAGGACGCCTGGACTCAATGTTATGTCCTTTCCACAATGAATATTGTAAGATTCTATGCAGTTTTAAATATACACATATTTTTGAAAAATTTTAATTTTAGTTTTGATGTATTAATATGAATTCATTTAGAATAAGTGAGTGTAATTCAATAGTTGTTTTACATCTAAAGTGAAATCATTCAAATCCAGGTCATAAACTTCATAGCATAAGTATGAAAGGAAATAAGCGCATTTTTTACATAATGCGTATGTTAATATGACGTTACTGCAATGAATTTTATAAATATATGACTGTAACGCATTCCGATTTACCTTCTTCCTTCTTCAGATGCGTACTCATATTATCACTCACATACTGACATAATTATAGCTATAAAGACTCACCTGGACATCCATTAAAATGTACATATGAAGGTTCACTGAAAGATTTGGTTTCCTATTGCAAACCAAAAACAAAGAAGTTATATTATCAGCAGCTCAGTATTAGAGTAAATGAGCTTGAAAACAAAAAGCAGTTTAAATGTATATGGGTTGGTCCATCTCTTAAGGAAGAAAAGGAAATTATTCTTTATCCTAACAAAAATGGAACTGTGGCCACATTACTTGAAGAAGCAAAGAAACAAGTAGAACTGTCGGAAAATGGATCTGGAAAATTAAGGATACTAGAAATCAATTGTAATAAATTATCGCCTGGTCCAAGAGAAGATGTACCCCTAGACAACTTAAATACAACTGGCGCAAAATTATACAGGATAGAAGAAATTCCAAACGATGAAATAAATTTAGCAGAAGACGAAATGTTAATTCCTGTTGCACACTTTCACAAGGATGTTTTTTCGACGTTTGGTATTCCCTTTTTCTTTAAAATCAAACAGGTAATCACGATCAAATATGCATATATAAATATTTGCTGCATTTCTCATTTTTTTACTTTTTTTTAACCATATTGTATGTAAACATTACTATTTATTCTATCTGTTACAGGGTGAACCTTTCCCAAAAATGAAAGAGAGACTACTGAAGAAATTAGGAGTACAAGAAAAAGAGTTTGAAAAGGTAGGCATCTTAATCTAATCTTATTTGATATTTTATGAGAATTCATAAAAAAACTTTGAAGTTTAAGTTCGCGCTGGTGACAATGGGAAAGCCACACTTTATTATGGATTCGCCAGAATATATTGTGAAGCTCTCAGACTTTCGTACACATCCAACTCAGAGTAAGTATATACGAAAAGGAAGCAATTATTTGATATAAGATAATAACGAAATTAAGTAGAATAAAATAGATAGAATAATCAATCATTTTTTATACAAACATTAAATTGATGCTGATGAGAAATAAATTTTGTAGCTTATCCACTTTTATACGCAGGCACATCGCCACACAGGCCTTGGCTTGGCTTGGAACACGTCAACAAAGCGCCAAAGCGTTCTCGTATCAACTACCTCGAAAAGGCTATTAAAATTTATAATTAAATTTTCATCCTGCGAAGAGGAAAATAAATTAGGCAGCCACTCATATAATTTATACAATTCTATAATAAGAAAGCGTCGTCTGACACAAAATGGTTGGGAATGAGTTTATATATTCGATTCTTCAGCCAGATAGAGCGTGGTTTTAATATTATGATCATGTTATAACGAAAGGTAAATCTACGCTTTGTATACGATGGATTAAGAGAGTGTTTTGACCATACAATGACGCTTTTATGAATCATGGAAGTTCACCCTTTCGAATCGACAGGGATTTTACGTAGTGGCTGGATCGATGGCACAACATCGATTCCACTATGCACCAACAAATGGATTAGACGCTTCTATCTGTGAAATCAGTTTTTGTATTTGTAAATATATTTGTCGCTTGATGGCAGTCGTTTATATATGTATTTTTGAAAGCAGCGTTCTTAATGCATTCGATTCAGTCACAAACAAGAATTTGTTTAAAACCGAATTTTATTATGAAGGCTGATATGGATTACAACTACAGAATGAAGAATCCTTGTTTCAGGAAAGAAAGAGGTATTTATGAATGAAAGCATCACATAACTCCTGTAAAACAGCTCAATTTTTTTTTAAATCTTCATTACTTGATCCTGCCACGTAAAATCTTTGTATTGATTTAATAAGATCCAAAGAGACATTGTGTACTGTTCTACGTAACGATGTAATACTTGAAGCTCGTAATCGGAAAAGAATTGTCTACACACTCCTCCTTCATAATTATATTCAGGATGTTTGAAACGCAGTTTGATACTCATCCTATAATTCTTACGATTCTGCACTCTCTGAAGTATGATCACGAAAAAATAAATGTTAATATTTTGTTTATTATGTCACTTTAATCAAATGTGAAAATGTAGGTATCAATCTTTAATTAAAGATAATGTAATCCAAGTATTGTTTAACGTTGTTATATAAAAAATTTGTATGAAATATCAATTAGACGTTTTTTAACTAACATTTTTGAGTTGCCTTCCAAACACCCTGGAATTTTTTGCGTTTAAAAATATTCTTTTACCTGTGTGCGTTCTATGCGAATTTCCCTAATATATTTTATTGAGACTCTAGTAAACTGTGCAAATAGATAACAGTAGACTAAACACAATGATGAGGCAGAATTTTAATTTAAGAAATAAACAGAACGCTTCGAACATAGCAAATATTCTATACGTTGCACATTGAATGCAAGTAGTTGTATTGAATATACGCAAATCTAAACTATTGTTTATGAAAGAAAATCATCACATGCTTATTTTTGTTCGATTCATTGCTTTATTAATTATGTAATATTTTTAAAAAATTGCGAATTACATACAAATCTGCTTCTAAATATTTTTCTGTCGGATACTTTTCCTGCCGTAATTATGGTAATAGTCATTCGATAGATCGCGTTTATCTTTCGTAGCTCCGAAATACCTGAGAATCAAATAAATATTACAAGGAAATAGAGCAATTTATTTAACATTTACAATTACTTATGTCTGAAATAGTACTTCGTCATGATTGTTAAAGAGAAATTACGATTTTTAATTTTGAAGTAAAATTTGGATTATATGAAATTAAAGAATCTGATTTAGTTTATTTAACTGTTAAGATAATAAATTGTTGAATGATATTAAGTATAATTCTTGCCGTAAAAAAAGAATTAGTATGCTTCACTGTACCATGCTTCTTGAGCACATTTCAAGATTAATGAGTACAACTGTAACATAAAGAGTGCAAAACAAATCAATGATGAATAATACTGTGGTAATAATGAAAGATGGGCATCGGAGTTGCGAGAAAATATTGAAATGTTCTGTAAAAATCGAAACTTGTATGTATAGGTATCTGAATAACACGATACCCCGGTTTAAATAATGTACGTGTTTCACACACTTTAAAGACCTAACTTATTACTAGTTACTTCAGTTTCCAAACTTAATCTCGATATCACCTGCAATATCGTTGGTATTACCATTGTGTAAAATATAATTTTAAACAGAATACCAATTTCTTGTGTATTAGAATCGTTAAAAGAAAGCATGGAAAATTTATAAACTTAAAAGTGGCGCCAATTGCAAAGGTGTTTTTTAAACACAGAACTTGAAATTTTCTAATGATATCGGAGTCATTGCGAATGTGTGTCTGCATTCTTAGTAAGATGTAGAGTTAAAAGCGACATTAAAGTAGACAGGAAAGTCTTTTGTTAGCTCATACATAAACGTAACAGCTTTTCGGAGGAAATTAAATCATGCATGTTAA